GGGGCACAGGTATGGGGCCCACGGGTGGCTGAGGGGTCAGGATGCTGTGTGGGGCCCAGGAGGGGCCATGGGTTAGGTCTGCAGCTCTAGCCTTTCACTGAGTCTTTTCCTGCATCTACATCTTGGATTCTGGGACCCCATCTCTTACCCTCCCTCTCCTCCTTCCCTAGGCAAGTGGTTTAAACCTGAGCATGCCAGGAGTCCCAAAGGCCTCTCTGGGCTGGGGAAGCAGAGAACAGTGGGCTGGACACAAGTTCCAGGGGTGGAGAGCCTCTGGGGGTTGAGGGGCGGCAGGAGGCAGTGAGGTGCGGTGTCAGCAGGCAGGAGTTGGGCTTTACTTGCTGTTTCTCACCCCGCAGCTGCCACCAGCCCGCTCACTGCGGTCTTCAGCCTTTCCCGCAGTCTGCTGGCTGCTGCCCTGCTCTACGGCTTCTGCCTGGGTGCCATCAAGGTAGGGGTGACCTGTGTGGTGGGGGGCATGCTGAAGCCCAGGGGGGTGGTTGGGACCGAGCTGTGACATGGACTCAGCAGTGGCTTCTCCCACGGCAGGGGTGGGGGTACCCCCACCCCCATGCTTATCCTCATCTCCCCTGACCAGCATGGGTTCTCTCCCCAGACTCCTTGGCCAGAGCAGCACGTCCCTGTCCTCTTCTCCGTCTTCTGTGGCCTCTTGGTGGCACTGTCCTACCACCTGAGCCGGCAGAGCAGTGACCCCACCGTGCTCTGGTGGGTGCCTGCACGTGCCTGTCTGTGTGCGTGCGTGCGTGCACGCGCGTGTCTGCATGGCAAGGGTTTGGTCGGGGGGTGTCTCTAGGTCTGTGCATGTGCCTGTCACCACCTGACCCTGGGCCTGTGGGAGGAGGGGCAGCCTCCCCAGGCCCAGGCCCCTGACTTTTCTCACCTACCCCAGGTCTCTGATCCGGAGCAAGGTTTTCCCTGAGCTGGAGGAACGGAGCTTGGAGACAGCCCGTGCCGAGCCCCCAGACCCACTGCCAGACAAGATGCGCCAGTCAGTGGTGAGGGCCCAGAGTTCAGGATTCTAGTCTTGGGGTGGAGGTCTATGAGGGGGTGTGGTCAGCCACTTGATGACAGGGACACCCAAGCTGGTGTTTCCCGGCCCCGCAGCGTGAAGTCCTGCACTCTGACCTGGTGATGTGTGTGGTCATTGCCGTGCTCACCTTTGCCATCAGCGCCAGCACCGTCTTCATTGCCCTGAAGGTTCGTGTGGAACAGGCTCACCCGCCCCCCCCTTCGTCACGATCCTCGTAGGCCGTCGGGCGACGCCACTGGTCGTCTGTCCTTCCTTCGGACCCGTCGTGGTCCCGTTCCGGTTCGTCGTCCGTCCCCTTACCGTCGTCGTAG